TAATGACTTTGTGAGGCTTCATATTAATATTCCCTGCTTCCATTAGACGTCTTTTTACACATTTGTGCGAACAGGTTGCGATGAGAAGCCGTTTGATTTGCCAAGTTTATTTTGGACGCACGAACAATTAATCCTGTTGGACCTGACAGGAAGACAACTCGGCCGCTCGGCTGGTGCCACGGTGCAGACAGCGGCTCCTAGCTTTATGAATGAGGCAGAAATGGGGCCAAGGCTGTCTTCAAGTTGACCTGACGCCCCGCAGAGAGCAATGTGCCAACACTGATTAGAAGAGTGGACAGATAGAGAAACAGCAGTGGATTGAACCATCCCTCTGCACCTATGTGTGCTTCTGGATATCTGATGTTTACCCTGGAAGAAACCAAAACTACTGGGACTAGAGCAATAAAAGGCAGGGGGTTTGTGAATAGAGCTGTTATCGCCGTACACAGGTCCATTTGGGTAAATACAAACAATTCTACAGCAAACATCTGGACACTATTTCCAGAATCTTTGTTTCTGAACTAATTTAGTGATTACATTCAGTGAGAACAAAAGGTGGCATTGCAAGAGTCAATCTATAACTTGTTTTTGGTGCTTCAAGTTAAAAGGGAAAAGATAGTGTTTGAGTAGTTTATTGTAGATAAGCGAAATGGGCATTTTTCCAAAAAAAGTTAACTAAAGTTTATTCAAACTAGATTCTTGGAAGTTGTGAGTTATAAAATGATAAACAACGCTACACTTTCAGTTTTTTTCTAATTAACTGTGCGTTCTCTGCAAAGTGGATGTTTACTTTGGAAGCAACAAAGCTATGGGACCTTATGGACAAATAAAAGATGGAGAATTTAGATGTGTGAAGGAGTCTTATCTCAGCCAAGGCACAACACAAAGAGAATATACACAGTTATTTTCTGTAGTCAAAGAAAAGCAGATAAACTATTCCATCTGCACTTTGAGTCCAAGTAGTGAGTTATTCCCCAAGAGCCGGAGATTGTACACAACAGTGCAATTAAAGTCTTGTAGAGAACACAGTATAATAGTCAAACAAAGAAGGTTTCCTAACAAATATGCACTGTATTCGGTCTTCATGGTGATGTCAAGGTGGTTTTAGCTAGAATATGCATTTAAAAACTAGGGCTGTCAAAACTATCGCGTTAACGAGCGTTCATTATTTTTTAAATTAATCGCGTTAAATAAACGCATTTGACGCATGTGCCGAATGACCCCCATGCATCCCATAATAAACACTCAGACGTTCCACAGACGCATGCGTGTGAGATGACAACAGAGCAGGCATTAGTTAGCATCAGCACGACTTCTTATAAGCCGTACAACAATCACTGATGAAATTATACAAAAACAACGCACTGCTAACAAAATATACAGTACAATAACTGAAAGATTACCACTAGGTTCGCGTACAAAGTTAGTCCGAGGCGGTCTGCACCCGCAGGTCTCTCCAGAAGATATATGTAAGCTAGCTATGTTCAGCCAGGATTGATTTCTTCTTTTATCATTTTTTTTGCTTTAGTTCCCTCTTCTCCTCCTCACTGTTTTGTCTTTTGGGCTGTTTTACTGCTTTGTAAGCAGTTACAGACAGACGAGGTGTAGCCACCTTCTCCTACCATGCTGCTGTTGTTTACATGCGCTGCAGACGCTAGAGGGGGCGTGGCCTAGGAGAACGAGCGTCACGCAAAGTTTCTATTCAGCACTTTTTATGGCCTGAATTCATACTATAGACTGTAAATATTAATACACAGCTGAATCAATGCGCTCAATTTTTCAATTAAATTACGGGTTATAATACAACTTGTTGATGTTAAAGCCGTTTTATGTGGATTTATTGTTAGAATAAACAAATACAGTATATATGTACACTATGTTGTCATATGTTTTTCCATTTAAACAACTATATACAGAAAAATATGGCGTAATTTTGCTGTTAGTTCAAAATGTGATTAATTACAATTAATTAATTTTTAAGCTGTAAAATTGTAATCGTTTGACAGCCCTATTAAAAACACGTCCCAAGAAGGCAGGATTACAATAATCTATCACTCAGCATCAACCACAATTCAAAGGCGAAGCAGTTTATTTTACCTGCAAGACATGTTATATATCCATCCATCCATCCATTTTCTTCCCCTTAATCCATTTCTGGGTCGGGGGGGTGGCAGTCAGAGCTGCACCCAGTCCACAGAGCACCAGCCCCTCACTGATCCTCCTGCAGGTGGTGAGTCCACAGGAGCTGAGATCTTTCAGTGGGGGCTTCAGGCAAAGTGGGGTTAAGTGTCTTGCCCAAGGACACAACGACAGCAGTCATCAGTGGGAGTTGTGAAGTAGGTCTTGAGGTGGGCTCGAACCCACGACCTTCAGGCTCAAAGGCCAATGCTCTACCAACTGAGCTACTGTCGCCCCGACATGTTATATAGTACACCCAAATTAGTCTTATGGGGTGTTTTTACTGTCAATAAACACCAAATAAACATAAACATACAGGCAAAGAGACCTGATTTAGATTCAGAATACAGTTGTATTTGCACTTGGAAAGCCTACGTGTCAAGGCTCAGAGTAAAAACAAGCTCAACCAGGGGCTACCGTGATGAGGTCATGTGACATCACAGCCCCACATGACCATGGGGGGTCAGCACTAAATAAACAAAGATTGAAAAATCTTTGGAGCATAGAAAATATCTGCTCAAAAGGCTGGAAGTGAATGAAGACTCCTGACTGTGACAACACTGTATAAACGCACAGTAGAAACAACCTCAACCTTTGGCTCTTGAAGAGAAACCTGCAGGACAGCATTCGAAGCCTGTAGCACTCGCGTCTTCCACTACAATTGTATTTGCTTTCAAAGTATTTTCTGTTTAACTTTTTCTGTTTCAATTAATAAAAGAGATGCTGAACCAAAGATAAAAAATCCTGTTACACCAAATGAGTAAAAGTTATGAAAGAAGAAATTATGAAAGAGTAGAAGGAGATAACGCAAAATCAGAGCAAATGAAGTGAAGGTGTGGTCAAACTGAGGACACACGGTTCTGTTCTGTCAGATTCTGATAATCAAGCTGCTCCAAACATCCTCACTTCCATTTTGTACTGGGCGCTGTTTCCACTACAGCACTTCTCCCAATTACTTTGCACTGCTGTGTCTACTCTCAAAAGTTTATACATTTTCCTTTATAAAGAAAACCAAATAGTGTTTTCTTTCACTTTTAGAATCTACAACAAGTATAAAGGTCTAACAATGCTTTACAGTAAATCCATGCTATCACCAGAGAGAGGAGTGGTTTTTATAAAAATTGTCAAATTTAGAAATCATGATTTTCATTTCACTTGAGACATTTCCAGAACTTATTAAGGGCAAAACATATGTTTCAAGCGGCAGAAAACTGCTCTCAGTGTGATGTCACAGTGGTATAATGACGTCATACTATTACAGGACTGGAGCTTTTAAATAGAAAGGATGTTACATGTTTGTGCCAGAAGTTCCTGATATTATCCTGGACAGAGCTAAAAACAACAATTTTTCAGGCTTTAAATCAGTCATAACCATGAGAGCTGTTTGATAATTGGGTTCCAACACTTTGATAGATGTGATTTACACGTCTTTCTCTAAACTGGAAACAATACAGATGTCTTTTCTTACACCATCTCAGTCACAGACCTCTCACTCCCCCTCACTGATGAAAGCCTCCCCCCGCTGTCAACAAGGGGATTCGACTAAGAGCTCCATCTTACATCTCACACACTGGAGCACTTCTTTTGATACACCCTGTGATGAGCCATGCAAAAAAAGGCCAAACCTCTGCCGCGCTCCTGCAACCAGCTGAGAATTATTCCGGGCCCCTCACAGCTAGAAGGTCATTATCGGACATATTTCCTCTCAATTAGACCAGTGCTCCCACCTCTCAAAGCTCTCATTTGCACCTGCAGCAAACCCACGGCACTTTTCATTATCCCGACGCCAGATGCCTATAAGCACACAGGTTCTTTTTGAGATCGGAGTGATAATTCGAAAGCGTGCTGCGAATTTGCCCCTGGTTACATTACCGACCTTTTTATTCACCCCATTTGGAGCCCACCTGAACACCCCGAAGGGCAAAGGGGTTTTGGCGTGACCTATCGAGCTCAGGGGAAGTCTACTCCTGCTTTAATAATGAGGTAGATTACATAGAGTCATAGTGAGGCTATCTGCAGATGGGAGAGGGGCTAATTCACTGATTATTGTACAGGATTATGAGTCAGGGCACAAAAGCAGAAGATGGTTATTCAAATATTAAAACACCACAAAGCAGTGAAAGACGACGAAAGAGTCCTGTGTGAATAACCAACCATTTTAAGACTCAATAACAATACAATAAAACACATTTTAAGTGACTGTATGTGTCAAAAAAATACCCGCAGCACTCTGTATTGTGCCGGTTTATTAGAATGACTTTTATTTTTTGCACTAATTCAAAGAGCTGCATCAATTTATATGCACAACCATATTTGTTATTATATTTTATTGTCTCTTTCCGCAGCATACGCATTTACACATCTGCTGCTTAAATATCTTTTGACATTTCAATAAAATCCTAACATTGTTTTCTTTTGTCCACGGAGATAATAGTTTGCAAGAACAATTTCTGGGCCAATATAACTCAAGTAGTGGATTATCAGGTTACGGTTTTGTTGGAACCTTACGATCGACCTTGTTTGCAACTATATCATGCCATTTCCTTTCATAATCACATTTTCTGTTGAATAATATGGATACCGTGAGATATATACACCATGAATCAAATCAATAAATATTAAATCTGTTGCCTGTGTCAGTTTTAACCAGAGAAAATGCCACATCCAGCAGAGGTCCTTGTTATTAAATGGCATTTGTGAATTATACATAAATGACTTATGACAATATGCTGTTGGTATAATAAAGCTTATGATGTCCTTAATATGCCTCTTATGTTCTCGCCCCCTCTCCTGGTCCGTTTGGGTCCATATGCCTCACTTACTATCTCCCTGGCATCGCAGCGAACCCACGGTGAGTTTGGCCTCCGATCCCGGTCTGTTTGTGTCTCCCACGACAACCTGGCTGACTGGCAGATGGTCTTTATCAACCAATAGGCCCGAGTCTTCTCTCCTGTGCAGAAAAACATGGAGGTAAAACTTAAAAATGTTTAGACAAATTAATTACATTTCAATTACATTTATTTTGTATAGGTCTCACATCAGCAATCGGCTCAGTGTTGATTCCCCAAAAACAGATTAAGAAATAAAACAATTACTACTACTTTGGATTTTTACAACATTACAAATATAACAGTTAACAGTACATTTTCCTACTTACAGAACAACATTAAATGAGTATAAAGTAAACTCTATGATATCTTTGCAGTGTTACCGATCCATACTGTTTGAGAAAAGTATACAGTACACAGACCCCAAACATTGACCACTGCCTGCTTTTGTTGTTGTAAATAAACTTGTTAAACTTCTTCAGTCTCGTGGCTCTACTTTGGGGTTCAATCTGCAAACTAATAATAATACATTTTAATTCTTATGCGCCGTTCTAGACACTCAAGCTCACCCTACATCACAAGTAAAAACTACATTTGGCTAAAATATAACCGGTACTACTGCTACTATCGCTAATCCTCCCCTCTTCAATGATGTTCGCAAAGACATGTGTAATAGCCTCCAGGATTCTGAAAAAGAGATTCTGAAACCTCAGTGGGAATCTCCATATTAAATAAAGGTCAATTCAAAAAATCTATTTAAAAAGCATTCATTTAGGAGTTATAGTACTGGTAGTTTCTTCCTATCTTGCTCAAAGCTAGAAGCAGTGAATCTAAAACCTTTTTGTATATTAATTTACTCACACATGCTTTTACGGACATGTATAATCAATCAACATCAACTTTAAAACATACAGATGCAATTAATTTCCGGGAGACCAAGAAAATGTTGTATTAATATGAGTTTCAGTGGCTGTGGAAAAGTTAGTTTTGTGATGCGGCAGATCACTCACAGTTACACACTTGTACAAACACAGTGCCTTTAATGACAATATTCATCAGACGCACAAACGGTTTGGTCTTGAGGCGAGCGTGTCTGCACATAGCTTGAGCAATTTATGATGCAAGTTATTTTGAATGTTGAAAACCTGTCAGTGTGAACAATTGCACATAAATGAAAAATGATTGAAGGAAACAGTTCCTGGACCTCACTTGCAGTAATAGAAGTCAGATGAGGTGCTGCTCGGAGAGAGGCTTTACAAATACACACATAGCAATGGTTTAAACTTACAGGTGGTTCCCGAGTTTGTTTTAGGGTAAACTTTGCACAGACTAGTTACTACTATACCACCACAAAACTACTATCAAATGCAAACTATAAAAGCTGGGGTAACTTACTTTTGAATAATAAAATACATATAACTAGATTACCAAATTTATGCAGTAGGTACTCCAACTTTAATATTTGAATGCTACATGTGTCATCAGGCTTGTACTTTTATGACTTCAAAAACTAGTGTTGTGAGCTATTATTATACAGACAGTGTTTTAAAAGTCTCGACAACATCCAGAGCAGAGTGACACATTAATCTCCAGTAAAAGCGGTGCGTTCGGCGTGACTCACCACTGTTTGTGGTCCGCGTCACAGTTGCAGTCGTACTTGGGGTCCGTGCAGTTCCTGTCGATGCCACACGCACACTTCTGGATCCCAGGTCCGGAGCCGCCCCAGTAGAAGTGCTTCTCGCTGCCCCGGCCCACCCACCAGGTGTAGGGCGTCCCATCTGCAGAGACAACACACAACCAGCTGGTCAAGACAATGGACCGGTCTGCAGGGCTCTCTGACAAACTGGGATGAGCGGCTGTGTCTGGTTCAAAGGTTTTGTGGTTCAATTAAACCCTAGGCGCATGTTATATACCAAACATGCACTGTTTCCCCAATCTGCTCTTCTGATCATCTCATCAGCTCTTCATCTAATCTTTATGGAGTCATAAATCAATCTTTCAATTAACTCCCATTCGTTTAATATACTGTATCAAACCGTTTTACTGACTTAAGAGAAACACGTGTAATAGAAATCTAACTTGAGGTAAAAATCACTGATTACTCATGGGTAAATCAAACATGGATTTTGCACATTGATCTTGAAGAAGATGACATAGTCTGGGATCGCGTCTTTAATTCAGACAGAAGACATGTTTTATTGTCGATGGTAGAGACAGCACGAACAACAGATACAATAGAATGCAAGTGTATTATACAGAGCGGAGGCATGGAGACCTCCAATCAGCAGCTTCCACGGTGTGCTTGTAGCTTGGCCTTCAGATAGACAAAACAAGGGAAAAGTACTGGCTTCTGCACATTGATAGAATGATGAGTTTAACTTTAACAAAAGTTGCTTCAAAGTGTTATGAAATCTCACATTCCCCCCTCTGGTCACACATTCTCGTGTGACCATCAGGATCGATAAACAGCAACATAACATCATAACTCAATACTTCAAAAACTCATAAACTCGGTACTTCACTCGGTACTTAAAAAACTCAGAACTCGGAATACTTCAAAAACTCATAAAACATGTTCGGATCTTTCATAAAACTTGTCAACAATCTTCAGTAAAATACCAAACTTCATCAGTCGATGGTGGTTCCAGATATTGCTTTGAAAACAGTCTCTTCCACTTCTCCGTGTTTGTTTCTTCAGGCTGCATTTGTGTCGAGCCATGAATTCTTCTGTGACGTGTCTTTCAATCACACGTTTCAGCTTTAGTGTCCAGATTCAGCAATTCAATTCAGTCCAAATAATGTCCAAATTCAGAAATCCAGATTGTTCCAAATGATGTCCAAATTGTGTAATCCAATTGTTCCAAATGGTGTCCATGCAAAAGAGGACGATGGTGTTGTCCATGTCTCAGCAGCTCACAGCCTGACTGGAATCAGGGGCTGTGCAGATAGTCCAAGTGCTGGTCCAGATGCATTCTCTTGAGGTTTCTCAGTTTTGGCTTAAAAAAAAAACACTTTTTGTGTAAAAAAAAGTAGTCTTCTGTTCTGTAGATGTTACAGACAAGGCCCGCATCCTTAGAATGCAAGTGTATTATACAGAGCGGAGGCATGGAGACCTCCAATCAGCAGCTGCCACGGTGTGCTTGTAGCTTGGCCTTCAGATAGACAAAACAAGGGAAAAGTACAGGCTTCTGCACATTGATAGAATGATGAGTTTAACTTTAACAAAAGTTGCTTCAAAGTGTTATGAAATCTCATAACCTAAAGGCAGAGCTTAATATCTCTGGTTCTGTGCACACGTCGAGGCCAACAAAGGGGTGAGCTGCACATAATAGTTTCATATCTATGTCAAAGAACATTACGTACGGGTCACACTGATTGCTTTTGTGATGTCAGAGTTGTATCAGAGAAAGAAAGCAGAGAGAGGAGCCGGGAGCCACAGATATCACTCAGAACTTGGTTTGTTTGGCGCCAGTAGTAGATAGAATCTGTTCACTCCAGTCTATTAATACTGGGAGAACTGGTCGTTTGGGGCAGACCTATCGATGCAGGGCTGCGAGCACGTGGGTGACTGTTGAATTACTTGTATGTGGGCTCTTGGTTGTTTATTTTTGTTTTCATCATTTATGCTCTCGCTTTGCGCAGAAATTCGACAACACATGATTTTTTGGGACTTTGCTCACCGTACAATGCAATTACTGATCACATTCACAATTAAGACAAGCAGATGAAAAGTTAATGTTTTGTAGATTGAGCGATATATTCAAAACCAATTCTAAATGCAAGAACGGGTGTGACCAAAGCATAGAACCATAGCAACATCCCTGAAAAGTCCAAACTTGAGCCTAGAGCCTTGTCTAGTTGCATCCAGAACCCAAAAAGTCAATCCAAATAAATGCATTTAGATAAAAAAAAAACATTTAATACCATAACCTCTTACATTGAGACACATGCAGAAATAACAACACAGTAACTCCATGTTCAACTCAGAAATGTAAAACTCAGGTGAAAACACAAGCTTTTATTATGGTGTTAAATTAAGCATATTGAGCCCATTAGAGGTGATTAATTGCTAAATCATTAACCGTTTGAAACTCTGTGATTTATATTGACAAGCAGCAGATGTGCGCTGAATTCAATTTATGTGGTTAGCGTGCGGCAGTATGGCGAGGCACACTTTGTCACAGATCCCACCTGCGATTTAAAGACGTCTATGAAAATACCCACATCTATCTTTTGCATCACGATATGTCAGCTTTTTTCTCTTCTCACATCTGTCAACACACAAGCAAAGCCAATATCCTGTGAATAAATAGCAGGTGAAAGATGGCCGCGCTCTTTGAGAAATGCAATATAGGTTTGGCTGTATAGATCACACACCAACGTGGCACTAAAACAGACAACATGTGACTGTGGTGGAAATAAATGACATTACTTTGTTTTAAGAGTTTGAATTGTTCCATCGATAGCACTTTGTGGACTTGGATCAAAAACAATAAAGTTAGGTTGTATGAAATGGAATAGAGGCTGACAATGATGCAGAGGATGACAAAGGCAGCTGATATCCTCATATATGTTCCGTTCATATAAAGAGTTCTTGAACGTGGTTGTTCTGGCACGCTGCTTGGTTTTTGTGCTCATAAAAAACTAGAAAATAAAGAATAATGCTCATATCCCCAAAGGCTTAGAGCCAGACGAGTTAATAGGATTAATATGTCCTACTCTTTTTTTAGTGTGCGATCGCTTTTTGTGCCTTTGTATTATTATAAATGTACAAAGGACAAAACTCAAAACGGCAACTCGCTATAATTTTAGTTCACAAAAAGCAACATAATTTGCTCTGCGTTTGAGATACAAACCCCATTTATTTAAGCATATTATTGGAAAGATGGTCATGTAAAAATGTCTGGATAACTCAAATATGCCAATTTATTCAAATAAGTATGTTTCAACCAAGATCGAAACACATTATACTTAGTAAAGTTTACATACACAGCCAGAGATCTCCTTCTTTTGGTCACATTTCAGAGACACACTCATTGTCAGTGGTTATGTGAAGCCATATTGTAGGGGAAAAAAAAAACTGTTTTTCTATTTTAAAATGATCATTAATGTGATCTAAGGAGATTGCAAACGTGCGTTAATGTTAATGCAAGGCCGCCTAGGAATTGACACAATTTTCACAACTGCCGCAACAGACAACAAACTGTCATAGATGTTAAAGTACATGCTATTAAGAACTGGGGTGAAGTTTTTTTTTTTAATCATTGAGAATCACCAAAAAATATGGGCCAATTATCGATTAATCATATTTTTGAAATGTCATGCCCTAACAGTGGTTTTCAAAGTGGGGGGCATGAGACACTATATTTTTTTTCCAAAATGGAGGTTGCACATAGCTTTCATCCATAGTTGGGGTCTAAAAAGTTTCTGCCCAAAATGTGGTTACTTCCTCATGCCCAGATATAGATAAAAATAGATGTCGGCTATAGAAGTACAGACAGCAGAGGAGAGGAGAGGTGGGGGTATAAGCATTTCGAGGGACATCAGGTGGAATAAGAACGTCATGGTGTGCCGACTGAGCCCCTGTCCCCTGTGCACTTTGGGCTTAAGCTCTGCCAAAACAACCGACTGTGAGCGAGGGAGAAGATGAGAGGCTGCAGAATGGATGGAGATGTGACGGAGGAGAGATAGCATCGAACTGGCACCGACTTTACTGGAGAGAGGCCAGTGCCAGGAGCTCAGCAGCGCTCTGACCACTGAGGACCGTGTGTGTGTGTGTGTGTGTGTGTGCGTGCGTGTGAGAAAGACCTCAGGCCGGGGGAACAGGTGCATTTATTACCACAGATTTACAGGAATATTCACAAAGAGCCTTCAAACTATATCTATTCAGTGAAAAAAGCGTAAATATTACTTTATTTACTTGAGCACTGATTGCTACTGGTACATTATAACTGCCACTTTTTTTTAGGACCGATTGAATGAAACCCTGGGGCACCAAAGCTGGATTGCTACAGAAAAAAGTAAAGGGAGTCTTGGTTAAAATGGGCATGGTGTGGTACGGGTCAAAGAGGTGAGAAAGATTTGGATTTAGCAGGAAACAATAAAAAATCCATACAACAAACTCAATTGAACTGGTCTAGTCATTCATAATTCTCCAGCTACCATGTATAATAATAATAATAAAACAATCATTGACAACTCTATATATATGGAACCAACTATGGGGTATATTTATCAATCCAGGTGGGAGTTCTATAGCTCTATAGTTTCACAAACCAGTTCACATTAAAGCCTTAACCTTACTTAATATTTATTTTGCCAACACAAAGAGTCCTGTAAAAATAAGATCTGTGAACACATCAGACCACACCATGACGTCTTCAACTTGCTATCTTGCAAGTTGATACATGCTATCTTTTTTCACACACCTTCCCTGGGAGTCACTATTTGACACTTTGCGCAGAGAGCTGATTGGCTGAGGGATGGTGGTCCTCCCTTTTTAACTTTTCTATCCGACCAAGTTGATCTAATGATGCAACAGAGGCCAGAAATTACACAAATGTGAAACCTAGTAATAGAACCAAACTATATGAGAGCAAAGAGTAAGTAAGAAGGGGTTTTATTATATAGCTCATTTTTCATGGTTTTAAATCAGGTACCCCAGCTTTAAGGCGCACAATGTGGACTTATTACACAAAGCAATAACATTCTCAGGCAAGCAAGGGGTAAACCTGTTGTGTTGTGCCTGTAAGAAAAATATGGGCGAAGCAGGACCACA